CCCCCCCCCAAGCACCAAGAAGACAGAGCATCACTTGCCCCGGAGTCCCTATCTATACCTTGTGGCTAATTGCCACTGATGGACCTCTGCTCCATATGCCTATCTAATTCCCTTTTGAAGTCGTCCATGCTTGTAGCCGCCACCACTTCCAAGATTTTGGGGAGGAGAAAGAGGAGGTGGGAAAGGACGAATGCTCAGCCACTGTTCCTCAGCCCAAGAGATCGAGCAGCCAGCCAGTTATCTGTATGGGGGGGGGGGGGGGGCTACCTCATCTTTCCAGTCCAGGTGACCAGACCAGCCTGAGTCCAGTGTGGCTGAAAACTCCTTAGGAGTTAAGGAGCCCCATGCAGCCAGCTCTGAACCAGCTAAAGTTAATGAATTAGAGATACAGGAGCCTCAAGATCTATTACCGGCAGCTGACCTTTGATCCACCAAGCACACCTCAGGAGCCCCCCCCCCTTAACTTGAACAGCGAAGGGAAAAACTCCGACAAGACTTAAAGAATCGCAGACAGAGTGCTTGCTTCTTGGCTTGGTGCCAGCTGCTTAATGATAGCAGTTCTGAGTAAGTGCAGGAGCACCTTCCAGCAGACGGCTGTAAATCAAGGAATGCCTATACAAATCAGACCTGGAGAACTGCAGATTGTGGAAGCAACTTGTCACAACCCTGTGAATCTTGTGACCACAACTCCGGACTGTGCCTGCCTCCTGTGACCTTTGGACTGACCCTCAACTCTGCTTTTCTGAGCTGCCTGAACCTTGCTGATCAACGACCTCAGACTGCCTCGACTCTGCTTTCCTGAACAACCCATGACCTTTGACTGCTGCTAAACCGGTATTTAATTTCTGGACTGGACTCTTTGACTGTCACCTAACTCTGTTGCCTTGCCTTACTCTGCCTGTGTTCTAGGACAAGGCCTCTCCCCCAATAGGAATTCTATGTCAGTGATCAACTGCAAAGCAAGAACCACCACCCCCCAGTGTAAAAGCGCAAGAGACCGCCTCCACAGATCAATGCATTTGACTTGAACAGCTCCTTGTTGGGGTGGTTTCAAAGGGAAGCCACGTTGGTCTGCAGTAGAAGAGAGCAGTGTTAATGTCCTTCTGTCATGCCCGCAGTGCAGCCCGACCCCGTAGACTCTGACCCCGGGGATTCTGCGCCCTCAACATCCAAAGGTGAGCTTCCTGCACCCCTTGAATCACCAGACCTAAGTCCTGCGGAGGATGAGCACCAGCTACCAGGAGAGTTTACACCTGGAGCCAAGCACGTATTTCTGGCCACTGTGTGACACAGAGTGTTGGACTGGATGGGCCTTTGGCCTGATCCAACATTGGCGTCTCTTATGTTCCTTAAGCACAAGCACCACGCCTCCTGATTCCCCCCCCACCGGTGGCTCGTTTGCGCGATCAGAGGCGATGGGACATGGCAACCCAGCGTAAGGTGGCGCGCATGCAAGGTCGGCGTCCTCTAAGACCAGAGTACTGACCGGAGCCAGGACCCTGTTAGCGGCCGGTGATTGGCTAACAAGCGGAACGGGCTTTTTAGGCGGCTCTCTCAGATCCCCAACTCGTGCTAGCAACTAATCGCATAGACGACTCGCTGCACCCCGGATCCTGCGTTCCTGTCTCCTGGTTTTCGTTCTGACTTCCCGGCTCCTGACTTCGGCTTGCGTGACATTGTTTCCTGGGTCCCTGACTTCGGACTGTGTATCCTGACTTTGGACGAACGGCTTCCGGCTTCTGAACTCTGCTTGCAATCTCCGGTAACCCTAGACTGCGTTTTGACTTGGTATTCTGGACTCTGCTCACGTTACTCTGTCTTATCTGGTGCCCTGACCTCGGACTGTGTTTTGGACTTTCCGTGCCCTGCCTTACCCGCCAGCGCAATCGTGACACCTTCATTGTGCAGGGGGCTGGACTAGATGACTCTCGGAGTCCCTTCCAGCTCTATGTTTCCAATATCTGCCCTCCTGTCTTGCACGGACACGCATCTGTCTGCACTGAGCCCCGGTGCCCTGCGCATCTCACTCACCAAGCACGTCAGTGGAGTTGATCTGCAGGATGATCCAGCTGTGCCCATTCTCTTTGTAAGAGCCGAAGATGGTGAAGATGGTGCTCTTCTCCCCTGGCTCCGTCAGCAGGCCATAAACAAAGACCGGCTTCTCCGAGAAGGTAAACGTTTTCCAGGTCTCCCCTTCATTGGTGCTGTATCTGGAGAGCAAAATAAGGCACTGTGTTTACCTGAAAGGAAGACTAGGTAGGGTCTTTTTACACACGCGCTGTCAAGAAAAAGAGGAGGGCTTTTTAAAACCAAATGCAAACTAGTTAAGTGCGGTAATGAGGGGGGAAAACTTTTGTGCATAACTTTTTAAAAGTGAGATTGCCTTACGTTCAGGGTCATCTTCCTGGCAAGAAGAAGAGTTGCTTTATACCCCACCCGTCATTACCCAAAGGAGTCTTGGAGTGGCTTACAATCACCTTCCCTTCCTCTCCCCATGACAGACACCCTGCGAGGTAGGTGGGGCTGAGAGAGTTCTGAAAGAACTGGGACTGGCCCAAGGTCACCCAGCTGGCTACATGTGGAGGAGTGGGGAATCAAACCCAGTTCTCCAGATTACAGCCGGGCAGCTCTTAACCACTACCCCAAACTGCCAGGTAGGGCTCTTTTTGTAGCAGGAACTCCTTTGCATATTAGGCCACACACCCCTAATGTAGCCAATCCTCTAAGAGCTTACAGAGCTCTTCTTACAGGAACTACTGTAAGCTCTTGGAGGATTGGCTACATTAGGGGGTGTGAACCTTAATATGCAACTGAGTACCTGCTACAAAAAGAGCCGGTATATATAGTAACTTATTATCAAACTTCCGACTTCTCTCTTGCTCAGTCTCCAACATGGGCAAACACCAGCAAACGTGATTTATGTTTTAAGTCCAGACATCTCAGTGGGAGAAGGCGAAGCTTCCAACTTCCCCGCTGAAGCCAACAGCTTTGCCAGGTTTTGCAGCATCCAAAATTTTCTTCCAGAAGTGCCGCTATGCATGGGTTAGAGAAGGCAGAGAAAGAAGTACTTTCCTCCCTTTCTCACGATACAAGAACTCATGGGCACTCAATGAAATTGCTGAGCAGTAGGCTTAGAACAGGTCAAAGGAAATACTTCTTCACCCAAAGAGTCATTAACTCATGGGATTCACTGCCGCTGGAAGTGGTGGCGGCTACAAGCATAGACAGCTTCAAGAGGGGTTTGGATAAACAGATGGAGCAGAGGTCCATCACTGGCTGTTAGCCACAAGGATATATCACTGGCGACCAAGATCAAGTTAATTTGTGCCATAGTATTCCCCATTACTATGTATTGGTGTGAAAGTTGGACAATGAATAAAGCTGACTGGAAGTTGATACGTTGGAAATGTGGTGTTGGAAGACAGTTTTATAGATGCCGTGGAGCTCCAAAAAGACAAATAAGTGGGTTCTGGATCTAATTAAGCCTGAACTTTCCACGTTCCCTACAAGCTGTCAAAAGTGAGGGAACAGGGAATCTCTATTGGCCACCACCACTCCGGTGTGGGTCTAACTCGGGAGGGCCCAGAGCACCCTCCCTGCCCCTAACCACTTCTTCTCCAAACATGTTATACCTTCTAGGTGACCGAATGAGACGTGAGGACCCAGGCAGAGTAACAAACAGTTTATTAAAGAGCTCTAATGACAACAATAATTCAAGCCACATATGGGATAATGATGTCAGTAAAGGCAGGTAGGCAAACTAAAAAGAAATTCTAGCGCGTCTATCTGCACTGTCCCTGGCTGTCTCCTGGTCTTAGGCCTCAGGCTAGCTGACCCCTTCCTGGATGAGGGATCCCTCCGTCTGCAGCAGCCTCTCCCCAGCCCTGCTCCCTACGAGTTAACCACCCTCCATTTCTGGGGGAGGCCTTTTATTCCTTCTTTCCAAGCACCACCCCCTCACCCCCAATTTGCCATAGTTTTCCCTCCAAATCCCCTTTTACCAGTCACACGGCTCAGGGGGTGTCTGGGAAATGTAGGCCTGGTACCTACTTTAATATAGGCCTCCTCAGGGCAAGAAGCAGAAGCGGCGATTGGATTTATACCCCGCCCTTCACTCCGAGTCTCAGAGCGGCTTACAATCTCCTTTCCCTTCCCCTCCCCACAAAAGACACTCTGTGAGGTGGGTGGGGCTGAGAGAGCTCTTTTGAGAACTGCTCATGAGAGAACAGCTCTGAAATAACTTGTGACTAACCCAAGTTCATACCAGCAGCTGCAAGCGGAGGAGTGGGGAATCAAACCCGGTTCTCCCAGATTAGAGTCCGCGCACTTAACCACTACACCAAACTGGCACTACTATAGGCCTAGGATCATGATACACATACACAAACACGCCGCTAGACCAAATCATGGGGTTTGGCATCTGGATTCCCATTGATGAGGTCTATACATACTACAGCCAATGAAATCACACCTTGCCAACTATACCTGGGACTCAGTGTGCAAAATTCCTCCAATCATTCACACAGAATTCTGTGTAAATACTGTCTAATATCCAGCGACGGACACATTTAAACACTACAACAATAAACTATGAGGCAAACTGAGGTTGTCGGAGTTTGATCACATACTGAGAAGACAAGGCTCACTGGAAAAGAGAATCATGCTAGGGAAAGTTGAAGGCAACAGGAAAAGAGGAAGACCCAACCAATGCTCCCTCTAAGCTGTGGAGTCTTGTGAGCAAAAATTCTACCTTGTGAGCTCCTGGCATTAAAGTTATGAGCGAGCAACTTGGCTGCTGCATAAATTAGTTCGCTCTGGAGCCCTCCTCCCTGAGCAAAGACATAAATGTGTGAGCCGGAGGCTAAAGAACTGTGAGCTAGCTCACACTAACTCAGCTTAGAGGGAACGCTGGACCCAACAGACTCCATAAAGGAAGACCCAACAGACTCCATCAAGGAAGCCACAGCCTTCACTTTGCAAGACCTGAGCAAGGCTGTGAACAACAGGATGCTTTGGAGGTCATTAATTTAGAGGTTCACCATAAGTCAGACGTAAGGTTGCCAGGTCCCCTCCCCACACTAGTGGGGGGATTTGGGGCAGCATTCAGGGATGCCCGCAATGCGATGACGTCACCCGGAAGTCACACAGCAATACTTTGGTTTGAGGGCAAAACTCTATGGTTTTAGGCCAAATTTACCACAGAGTTTTGCCCTCAAACCAGAGCATTCCGTGATGTTAGGCCAAATTTACCACAGAGTTTTGCCCTCAAGCCAGAGCATTCCGTGATGACGTCACTTCTGGGTGACACCATCGTGTCAGGGGCGTTGCTGTTTGGGGGTAGGGTTCCCCCTGCTGGCCACCTGGCCAGTGGCAGGATGAAGCCCCAAAACCTGGGGGAACCCCCAGTGGGACCTGAGGCCCGGCTACCCTATTCAGAAGCAACTTGACGTCACTTTAACACACACAAGATCACTACCGTTATGGGTCATAAAGTATGCCGAAAATAATCACAGCCCATGCTCCTAAAGGCAGCGCTGTTTCACTTCTTAGCCCTGAATGTATCGAGAGCAAGGCCTTTGAGGCTTGAAACGTGTAGTGTATCCAGCCCTGACAGGGCCGGGCATGTCCGGACTTGTCCAGGGACAAACCTCAAGCTTTGCACCTAAAGACAATGGGCCAGGAGGATCCTAGCCCGCCCAATCAGAGGGCTAGGTCCCAGACCGGGAGGCCAATAGGTCTCTTGGTCACTGTAAATAGCCTATCGGGAAGTGGGGTGTGTGTTGGGGTGGTGGGTTTCTGAGGGAATATAAGCCGGCCTGCGAGCCGGCCAAAGTGTCTTGTTCCTGACTGAATAAAGTATGCTTTGCTGAAATCACTCTCCGTCTGCATACTTTTCAAAACGTATCTGCCTTCCCTGCCTCAGTGAACTCTCCGATGGCTTCCCGCGCACACACACACACAAACATGGAATCCTGCCCACGAGGTGACTGCCAGGTGAATGTGTGAAGAGGATGGTGTCTGAGGTGTTGAGAGGAAAAACAGAAGTTCTATTCGCGGTACAAAGACCTTCCCTCAGTGTCGTAACCACGAAGCATTTGCGAACCAGACCTCAGCCTCTTCCAAGAGAGGACGCAAACGCAGACACTTTACTTCAGATCTCAGCTGCAAGTCAGATTCCTTCTTTGCCGGAGGAATGTCTCTTGCGCAGACCACAGTGGAATTCCAGGCCCTCCCTCTACCCACTCCGCAAAACGCCGTGGTTTGGGGGAAGGGAGGAGTCAGTTTCTCAGAGCCTCAAATTCTCTGTCGATGAAGACCGCTCAGGACTCCTCTCCCTCACAAATTCCCCACCTGACTTAAAAACGAGTCATCTGATGACTGATCATTTGCTGCTTTGCCACATTCAGTCCTGGGTAAAAATCCCTCAGATGTTTCTTTCGCGGGAACTTACTTCAGCTGATCTGTCTCTGAACCCTGCGTTACCGCCATGAGGATCCCTCCGTGGTCTCCCCAAGTGTAATAATGGGGGCCGGTCAGGACCTGAAGAAAGAAGCAAACACAGAAGCGCGTGATGGGAGAGCGTGAAGGGCTGCAGACGTATTCCCTCCCCCCGCCACACACCCACTACCCTCAAGGGGAGTGCCAGCATAGCTTCTGTGGCCGTCACAGAGGCGCTTTTCATAATCCCATGACGTGTCCGGAGGATGGCAACATAAATGGCGCCCCAAAAGAATGATGCCAGTTTTTTTAAAAACAATTTTATTAGGATATAATAATAAGTAAAATTATACATCATATAACAAACTTTTCATATCCTTTTATCCAAATATCTCCCCCCCCCCTTCTGACTTCCCACAGTGCTCCAGCCTCTAATCCATTCTTTTTTCTCCTTTTCCAATTCTTTAACAACATAATTCTTTCAGGTAACGTATCTTTTTATCTGTTTATCTATATATATTTAAATTTAATCTAAATGTCCATCCAACCTTAATAATTGTCAAAGCAAAATAAATTGTTTTTTACATCCCAGTATTTCTTCCAAGTAGTCAATGATGCCAGTTTTTAAGACCACATCAATCCATTCGAAACCATGACCCTGCTCAATAATTCCAGTTTAAAAGTGGTATTTCTAGGAACCATCATTCAAATGTGGAACGACTGATTCTTACGATACGTGGGGTGTCAACCAGTGTTCCCTCTAAGCTGAGTTAGTGTGAGCCAGGGCTCTTTTTGTAGAAAAAAACTAGCAGGAACTCATTAGCATAATAGGCCACACCCAACAGCAGAAATGCATTAGCATATTAGGCCACACCCCTGACAGCACAGCTCATTAGCACATGTTGCCAGAAGTGTGGTCATCCAGCCACACCCACCCTTTGCTTCTTATTCTGTTTACTTTGTTTGTTGTCAAAACCCAGGGCTTTTTTTGTAGCAGGAACTCCTTTGCATGTTAGGCCACACACCCCTAATGTAGCCAATCCTAATGAGTTTGTGCTGTTGGGTGTGGCCTGTTATGCTAATGAGTTCCTGCTGGGCGTGGCCAACTCGGGAGCCAGCCGGAACTCCGTTCCTGTGCGTTCCTGCCCCAAAATAGCCCTGGTGTGAGCTAGCTCACAGTTTTCTAGCCTCCGGCTCACACATTTTTGTCTTAGCTCAGGAAGGATGGCTCCGGAGCGAACTAATTTATGCTGTAGCCAAATCACCTGCTCACAACTTTAATGCCAGTGGCTCACAAAGTAGAATATTTGCTTTCAGGACTCCATAGCTTAGAGGGAGCACTGGTGTCAACTAGGCTAGCCAGCCCCCAAGTGGGGTCTGGGGATCCCCTGGAATTACAGCTCACCTCCAGACTACAGAGATCGGCTCCCCTGGAGAAAATGGAAGCTTTGGAGGGTGCACTCTGTGGCTGCGGTCACACACACTAAATAATCCACTTTCAATCCCCTTTCAGTGGACTCTCCATCTGGATTTTACTGCGTGTACTTCTTTGTCTACCTTCTCACAATACAAGAACTCCCTTTCTTCTTCTCCCTTCCTCACAAGACAAGAACTCGTGGGCACTCAATGAAATTGCTGAGCAGTCGGGTTAGAGCGGATAAAAGGGAGTCCTTCTTCACCCAAAGAGTGATTAATACATGGAATTCACTGCCACAGGAGGTGGTGGCGGCTACAAGCATGGACGGCTTCAAGAGGGGACTGGATAAACATATGGAGCAGAGGTCCATCAGTGGCTATTAGCCACAAGGTATACATAGGAACTCTCAGAGCAGAGGTCCATCAGTGGCTATTAGGAACTCTCGGTCTGGGGCAAGGGATGCTCTGTATTCTTGGTGCTTGGGGGGCCCGACAGTGGGAGGGCTTCTAGTGTCCTGGCCCCACTGGTGGACCTCCTGATGGCACCTGGTATTTTTGGTCACTGTGTGACAAAGTGTTGGACTAGATGGGCCATTGGCCTGATCCAACATTGGTTTCTCTAATGTTCTTATGTGTGAACTGGCAAAATCCAGTTGGAAAGTGCATTGAAAGTGGATTGAAAGTAGATTATTTAGTGTGTGTGACCGCAGCCTGTAGCATATCTTGCTGAGGTCCCCCCCCTACCCAAAACCTGTCCTCTCCAAGCTCCACCCCCAAAATCTCCAGGTAATTCCCAACCCAGAGCCAATCAGCTAAGCCACAAGGGATTTAGAGATGCCAGCCTCCAGGTGGGGCCTGGGGATCCCCTGGAAATACAGCTCACCTCCAGACTACAGAGATCAGCTCCCCTGGAGAAAATGGATGCTCTGGAGGGCGGACTCTATGGCACTGTACCCTACTGAGGTCCCTCTCCTCCCCAGACTCCATTCCCAAATCTCCAGGAGTTCCCCGACTTGGATGTGGCAACCCTACACCGCCCACCCCGTTGGTGGCCAGCAGGGACCTGGCAACCCAAACTGTGAACCCTACCTATAAGTTTCAAATGAAAGCATACTCACACACCCAAAGGGGATTATCATGTACAAAGATGCAGATACACACACACACAAACACACACACGTAAATCCACACTCCGTTCTGCAAGGACAGACCCGTGTCCCCAGCCGAAACATGAAATCCTTCCAGGACAAGTTCAAGTAAAGGAAGGTACGAGCCCGTCATTCTGTCTCAAGGCGATTTCGCACTAGAGCTGCCTCGCGGTTGCGCCGCCGTTTGCCCCGACACAAATATGTCAATTTCACACCCGAAGCTGCGGGGCTGCATTTTGACTCGTGGCTTCGCCCGATTTCCTCCGCAGTTTCGTGATCCTGGTTTTTGAGGATCACAAAACTGCAGCCTCGGGTGTGAAATTGACAAATAGAGTCGGGGCAAACGGCGGCACAACCGCGAGGCAGCTCTAGTGCGAAATCGCCCTCATATAAACGCCTTCTTGCACTATGCTGAAGTGCTACCCTCGATTATGACTTCTGGTTGCCAGCCTCCAGGTGGGGCCAGAAGATCTCCCAGAATTCCAAGCCATCTTCAGACTCCAGAAATCAAGTTTCCCTGGAGAAAATGGATGCTTTGGAGGATGGACTCTGTGGCACTGTACCCCACCAAAGCAGGGATGCCAGCCCCCAGGTAGGACGAGGGGATCCCCTGGAATTACAGCTCATCTCCACACTACAGAGATCAGTTCCCCTGGAGAAAGTGGATGCTTTGGAAGGGTGGACAGGGAAGGGGCTGTGGCTCACTGGCAGAGCCTCTGCTTGGCATGCAGAAGGTCCCAGGTTCAACCCCCCCGCATCTCCAGTTCACAGGTGGGAGGTGATGTGAAAGACCTCCGCCTGAGACCCGGGAGAGCCGCTGCTGGTCTGAATAGATGATATTGACTTTGATGGACCAAGGGTCTGATTCAGCATAAGGCAGCTTCACGCGTTAGTATGACTCCATAGCATTATACTCCACGGGGGTCCCTTGTCCTCCCCAGGCTCAATCCCCAAATCTCCACCAGTTTCTCAATCTCAGTCTGGCAATCCTACCTCTCGTCTTCTGCTGGTGGACAGGGGGGACTTGGCAACCGTACACTAAGGTCAGTCCCCTCCCCAAATGCTCCACCTCCCAAATCTCCAGGAATGTCCCAATTTGGAGTTGGCAACCCCTTTTCAGATTCATACTCTGAGTTTTCACTGTCGGATGTACGAACGTCCCACTTTTGGGCTTCCCCAGTGGCCGGCCGCATTCCAAATTTATTTTTTATTGTTATTATTTATTAATTTATATCCCCCCCCTGCTGTTGCGGGCTCAGGGCGGCTAACAAACATACATATGAATATATACATTAAAACGCCATAATATAGTAAAACAAATTAAGTTAAGATTACACCATACAACCATAACTGCTCAGTGCGTACTATAATAAAAGATTATAATAACATAACATAACATAACATAACATAACATAACATAATATAATAATAAAAGAGCTGCGGTGGCTCAAGTGGTTAAGACGCTGAACTGCAGGCTGTGGAAGGTCGGTAGTTCAGCAGTTCGAGACCCGAGTGTCCTGCATGACGGAGTGAGCTCCCGTCTCTAGTTCCAGCTCCTGCCAACCTAGCAGTTCGAAAGCAAGACATTGCAAGTAGATAAATAGGTACCACTTCGGTGGGAAGGTAACAGCGTTCCGTGCGCCTTGGTGTTTAGTCATGCCGGCCACATGACCATGGAAACGTCTTCGGACAGCGCTGGCTCTTCGGCTTTGAAACGGAGCACCGCAACCCTAGACTCGGATTCGACTGGCTTTCGAGCAAGGGAACCTTTACCTTTACCTTTTTACAACATACAACCATAACTGCTCAGTGCATACTATAATAAAAGATGGCGACGTTCTGTCCACATTTGAATGGCCGCCTACACCCTAGTCCAGGCTGTTAGTTGTCCCGTTGGTGGTGATGTTGACGTTAGGGCCAGGGTCATGGTATTAAGGTGGCACCCCAATCGGAAGCCTGGTGGAAGAGCTCTGTTTTACAGCCCCTGCGGAAGTACAAAAGGTCCCGCAGGGCCCTGATGTCATCCGGGAGCTCATTCCACCATTGAGGGGCCACCACGGAAAAGGCCCTGGCCCTTGTTGTGGCCAGCCTGGCCTCTTTAGGGCCCGGGAGAACCAGGCGATTTTGGGATCCCGATCTTAGTGTTCTCTGAGGCACATATGGGGAAAGGTGGTCCTTTAGGTAACTAGGTCCCCGACCATATAGGGCTTTAAAGGTGAAGACCAGCACCTTGAACCAAATCCGGTATGCTACAGGCAGCCAGTGCAGTGCTTTTAGGGCGGGCTGGATGTGTTCCCGCAAAGGAAGACACAACAAATTCCAGCCTTCCAGGTCACCTGGAAGTGTCTAAGCCATCCCTTACACTCCCAGGCAAAACGAAGGACGTCCACTTCTAGCATCTTTATTATACATATATATATATTACACAGCCAGAGGCAGAATTCCTGCCTGCTGCCAATCCCAGCAGACCCAGCCTTCTCCAAACCAAACCACGCCGCTCGGAGAGGAAAGGAGATGGTTCGCCTTGCGGCATTCAAACACATCACAGATGTCAGAAAAACGGCCTTAGACTAACATCAGTCTAGAGAGGCCCACCGCAAGTCTCTCGGCAGACCGGACCACCCAATCAGCCTCCAGCAACGACAGCGCTCCTCAAATTGGGACCACGTCCCACTCGGAGGGAAGATGCCAAGAGTCCTTGGCTGCTCACACAAGCGACGGCAACAGGAGAAAAAAAAATCCCCACTGTGTCTTGGCAACGTCTTTAAAGGACGGCAGCCAAACGTAACATCTCCCCCTTACATATGAAAGTAAACCAAGCAACCTTCTTGTTGGAAAAGTTGTGATTCTGTGGGAAACACTTTACTTGCAACAGATGCGCCGTCCTCTCGTTGCTACATCTGGAAGGAGCTGGGTTTAATTTCTAGGAAAAGAGCTGTGGGGATCCCAAACCTGCTCACCACTCGTGCGCTCCTAGTGAAAGATGCTTTTTCCCCTCTAGACGCAGAGGGGTGGGAGCGGGTGGCAGCTGGTCCTCGGCACAGAGGACAAGTAACTGCATCCCTTTCAAGGCTCCCAATCCTGACTGTCCCGGCAATCAAAGAAGCTTGTTTGGTGGATACATAAGAGATGGCCTTTTCCGTGGCAGCCCCATGCTTATGGAACAACCTCCCCAGGGATGTATGCCTGGACCCCTCACTCTCAGTCTTTAGGAGGCAGTTGAAGATGTCTTTGTTGTTCAGTCGCACAGTCGAGTCCGACTCTTCGCGACCCCGTGGACCAGATCACGCCAGGCCTTCCGGTCTTCCGCCGTCCTCTGAAGTTTGCTCAACTTCATGTTCGTTGCATCTATGACACTGTCTAACCATCTCATCCTTTGCCGTCCCCGTCTTCTTTGACCTTCAATCTTTCCCAGCATCAGGGTCTTCTCCAGGGAGGGCTCCCTTCTCATTGGGTGGCCAAAGTATTTGAGCTTCAGTTTCATTATCTGGCCTTCCAGGGAACAGCCAGGGTTGATTTCTTTTACGATTGACTGATTTGATCTTCTTGCAGTCCAAGGCACTCTCAAGAGTCTTCTCCAGCACCATAGTTCAAAAGAAGATGATTAGGACCCCGCTAAAACGGTCACATATCTATAAGTCCTATTCGCCACTGTGTTGGAAGAAATGCGGGCAGGTGGGACCCTATGCGCACCATTGGTGGCACTGTGAGAAAACTCAACAGTTTTGGAAGGAAGCATTACATCAAATAGCAGTAATAACTGGCTATGTGGCACCCTATTTTCCTGCACTGATATTTTTGAATTACTGGCCAGAAGTCTCAGCGCCGCAGATCAGGAAGAAACTTATCTCTATCCTTTTGGTGGCAGCAAAATCAGTCACAGCTTTAACATGGAAGTGTCCAGATCCACCTACACTCACATTATGGAATTGGAAGATATGGGAGATTTATGTAATGGGAAGCAATTACATATCAGATTAGTCAGTATGAATTAAACCCGCCACACAATGGCTTTGCAGAGCGTGGTTTATTATACTGGATTTTTAGTCACAACTTGAGGAAATCCCTAAATGCTCAGAATCTTTATACTTATTATAATATGTACATTATATTATAAGTATGGTACTGCTATTGGCTTATGATGTCATTCTTTCTTTACAGATATTGCACTAGTTGTATAAGTTTGAGTAGTTGTAAGACTGCCTAAGGTATACTTTGTTACACTGTTTATAATTTCTGTTTTTTATGTATGTGAAAATTAAATAATAAAGAAGAAGAAGATGTTTAGGACTGCATTCAGTTAAGGCTATTGACGGTCCTAAAGTGTGATTATTAATTCTGGTTTTTATGTTCTTAATGTACTTTATTTCATGTGTGTTAATGTTGTAAGTTGCCTTGATCTTCGTAAGGGAAGAAGGGTGGAGAAGGAATGTTTTAAATAAATAAGTAAATCCAAAGCCAGGCAGCAAAAACAGATTCTGGGATTCAGAGTTAATCTCCAGGCGTCCAGCAGGTAATCCAGCCTAGTACAGCAAGACAAGGAGACCCCAAGCCGGCTCTCCAGTAGAAGAAGAAGAAGTGATTGGATTTATACCCTGCCCTTCACTACCCAAAGGAGTCTCACAGCGACTCACAGTCTCCTTTCCTTTCCCCTCCCCACAACAGACACCCTGGGAGGTTGGTGGGGCTGAGTGACAGAAACTGCTCTTTTTCAAGGACAGCTCTTATCAGAGCTACGGCTTGCCCAAGGTCAACCAGCCAGGTGCAAGTGGAGGAGTGGGGAATCAAACCCAGTTCTCCCAGATTAGAGTCCGCACACTTAACCACTACACCAAACTGGCTCTCACAGAAGGTTTTTTTGCAAGCTCTGGTAATGGGTTATCAGATTCAGACCTGAAAAAAGTTTGCAAGCGAGCACTCGGCCATCCTGCTACCACCCTCTCTGGTCAGCGTTGTGTTGGATACTGTAACTCTGCATGCAAGCGGATCTGGGAAGAAAAGGGTTAAGAGAATTCTCTCCTTCGGGTACACTTGGCAGTTGGCCCCACTTTCCTCTCTTGGGTTAGATGTTGAGCCTCTGAGCTCCTTGCTTCCCTTCTGTTCCCTTCTGTTCCTTCAGGGGTCATTTCTTTGAAAAGAGGTGCAGGAGCTCATTAGCATAACTCATTAGCATATGCCACACCCCGTGACATCACCGGAAGTGTGTCAGAAGGCAACACCCACCGCTCAGGTTCCACTGGACTGTTTTGGATTGCTAGCTATTGGGGGGGGGGCGTGCAGATCTATCCTCGCAGAGGAGGGAGAACTTGTACCTGAATAAAACCTGGTCTTAAAGGTGCCACTGGACTGTTTTGGACCCGGTGTGGGGGCTCTGCAGCTTACCTGGCTGCTTCTTGCTCTGACTGAGGGCTGCTGGGAGCAGGGGTGGGGCTTGTTGCATGTGCCCGCCCCAAGGGCTCTTTACTGCTGGAGCTCCGCTCCTGTGCGTTCCTACAGGAAATGACCCCTGTATATGGGACTTCTCTTCTTTCTCTCTTGCCTGAGCTTGGAGCTGTAGCAAGTTAACCTTTCTGAAGTTAATCTGTTCACAATAAAGCAAAGTTTGAGTCCAGTGGCCCCTTTAAGACCAACAAACATTTATGCAAGGTGTAACATCTGAAGAAGTGTACCTGCACATGAAAGTTAAACCTTGAACGAAACGTTGTTGGTCTTAAAGGGGCCACTGGACTCAAACTTTGATTTGTTCACAGTAAGTTACATGTACCAACATGAATAGGTCACGTAAGATGTGCTCCTGTTTTTGTAAGTAACATTTCTTTTTCTGGTTACCCTTGGAGTCAGACCGTCTTTGTAATTCGTTTTGTTAAGTAAAATTTATTTTTCTTGTTACCATTGGAGTCAGATCATCTTTGCAATTTGCTTGAACAGCATTTTTCCCTTAACCCAGAAACATGAAAGATTAGAGATAACATGTACGCTTCTGTGCTTTCAAGGCAAATGATTTTCTCTTTACATTTAACCCAACACATTCATGGACTGAGCTGCTCCTCCTAACTATGCAATGCATATCCAGGAAAACCAGGTGTTCACCTCCTGTCCACAACGATTTACAGCAGGGAGGACCCCACTACGGGCTGTGAGGAGGAGGCAATTCCTAGAGAGGAGGAAACTGGGAAGATCTGAGCCAGCTGAATAAGACCCCAGTTTGAGCATCTGCTCCTCCCTTTTTGCGGGTAACTAAGCTCCTAGGCTTGGCTAGAGGCACAAGCCTTTGGCAAAAGCCAAAGGGCTCTTGGCCCATGACCTGCAGCCTGTGGTCCTGTGTGAGCCGTACCGGGGGAACCAGGCTAGGACATCTGTGTGGCCCATCAGCTGTTCTGTGCGGGAGTGTCTGGAGGGTTCTCTATTCACGTTTAAATGTGTTTATTGTTTACACGTTTTACTTTGCATGCTGCTCATTAAGTCCCCAGTGTGGGAGAAAAGCAGAATAAAACGACTTGAGCAAACAAATGAGTACAATCCTTTGGCATATAGATCTTCCACAAGTTGCAAACATCTGGACTGATCAAGTTCACTCCCTGCCCGAATGCACTGCAGTCACAGATTGAGAAAAGGAGAAGAAGAGGAGGAGGAAGAGGAGGATTTATACCCCGCCCTTCACTACCCAAAGGAGTCTCAAAGCGGCTTACAAACTCCTTTCCCTTCCCCTCCCCACAACAGACACCCTGTGAGGTAGGTGGGGCTGAGAGAGAACAGCTCTGACAGAACTATGGCTTGCCCAAGGTCATCCAGCAGGTGCAAGTGAAGGAGTGGGGAATCAAACCCGGTTCTCCCAGATTACAGTCCGCACACTTAACCACTACACCAAACTGGATCTCGAACAGGCAGCACGAAGTCAGAGAAATGCTCGCCACGCCACATCTTCTGTTCCCCCCCCCCCCATGGATTTATTTTGTACACTAACTTTTGAGCATTCAAGCATCAGACCAGGGGAAATTCCCGCCCAAACACACGCCTTACCTCTCGCCATCGGACGCCGGCGCTGCTCGAAATGTACACGTTCATTTTGTTAGCCATCTTCTTGCCAACGGAACCTACACAAAAGAAGCACAGAGGATGGAGGGAGGAGGTTTGTAACTCGCAATTCCTCCCATCGGGCGTCCACAATCGCTGCACTGTTATGCGGCTGGCTTAAGGACCTGCCGGCCGTCACCATATTCCATTTCCATTTTTAAAAACAGACGTGCAAGCTAAGCCGAACCCCACACGTTTTTGCATCTGCAGCTTTCAAACTCACACAGTAAGAAAACAAAGATTTGTGATGGGTGTCATGGGCACGGATGAGGAGGAGCTGACAGAGCCTGCAGAAACCACAGCTGGCCCCTCTGAAGCAGCAGAGGAGGATAGCCGGCAAGTGCCTGCAGCAGCAGTCCTCAAACCTGGCCCAGATAAGAAGGGAGAACTGCAAGCTGAAAGTCCTCCTGACTCACCCCCACGTGTGACTCGTTTAAGGGAGCGACTCCGGCAAAACTTAGCAACCAAGCGAAGAGAGGCCAGGCTACAAGGGAGGCGCTCAGCTAGCCCAGAGTTTTAACAGGAGCCTGGCCGATCGTAGAGCTGGCTAACTGGTAACAGCATTTAATTCCACACTCTGGGCAGTACTCTTTATGGAAACAACAAGTCAGCTTTGTGCTGCTTGCATCCACTTTCGCTCAGCTCTTGCACCTAGACCTTCGGATCTCCTGGCTTTGGACTTGGCTCTGTGTTCCTGGCTCCTGACCCCGGCTTGGCTTTGGACTACGCTTCTGGTTAGTGATTTTGGACTTGGCTCTGTGTTTCTCGCTCCTGACCCCGGCTTGTTCTGGACTCCCATTGACTGGCACCCCAGCCCGAGACAATGGGTGGCTGTCAGAAGTACATCACACCAGGCTTCCACAGATGGGTCCAGTTTCCTATGGCTTTCTGTTGAATTCAGTGCACAAAGCCATAAACAGCTTAGACTGAATACTTGAAAAGGCTGCATCCATCCCTACATTTCATTGCATGTGACACAAGAACATCTGCATATGCTGACAATCTCTGCATCATCTGGACAGCAAGAGCAAACAGGGAGGCATTCTCTGTGGCTGTCCAGCGACTGGAAAACTTCGGTCCCCTGGAGATCCGCCAAAGCTAGAGCCTGTGCATCTTCCAAGAGTGATGCGAGGCAGGGTAAGATGAGGGATTAATCACTATAACTGGAGTTCAGTCATATGGCTACCCCAAGTACTTGAGATGGAGGAAGGCAAGGCAATTAATGAAATGCAAATTTAGAAAAAACACAAAACCACCTGTACCTGTGGCAATGATAAGTCCTGGAGCGGATTCTTTAGAGAGGATGGGCATCCTACGCAGCTGGAAGTTGAGGATCTGGCTCAGGCGCTGGGCCAGATGAAGCGAGCAGCCCTGGGAAAGCTAGGAGAGTCCAAGCGTGCAAACATCATTTACTTTGACCAAAGGGATTTCCCGGACAAAGATGCTTGTATCCCTCTGGAGCAGTGGTGGCGAACCTATGGCACGGGTGCCAGAGGTGGTACTCAGAGCCCTCTCTGTGGGCACGCGTGCCATCGCCAGGCCCAGACCATCATTATAGTGTCGAATTCTCTGCCAAATAATTTTAAGTAAATGAAAGCATTTGGGATTGCTTTCCTTACTTTGTTTGGATCATCTTAAGTTAATGTATGCGTTGTTTTTTCTAAAGTAAACCCTCAGTATTCAGGTTAAATTGCCGTGTTGGCACTTTGCGATAAATAAGTGGGTTTTGGGTCACAGCTTGGGCACTCGGTCTCTAAAAGGTTCGCAATCACTGCTCTGGAGCCAGCAAACTGGGTTCAGTACTGCAGGGCCTTATTCCAAGTGAAGGCCATGGCAGAGGACCACAGTTCAAACAGTTATCACAATTACACAGTTTATTTTGCTTAGCCCTTGCTAAAGGGGATGGGGTGTCCCAGAAGGCAAGCAAGAGTCCTTGAACGACTAACAAATGCATCCTGGCATTAATTTTCATGAGCCAGAGACCACTCCCTCAGATAAAAGAAGTGACACCCTCAGCTAACAGGAGTGTGGTAGTTATAAAATTTTTAAAGTTGTGTGTGTGGGTTTTTTTTTTAAATCAACCGATAGGTACAGAGGACAGCTTTCACACAGAGGGCCAAAAGGCCACAGTAAATATTTGCTTGGCACCTTGGTCCAACTGGGTGAAACGTCTCTTGTGCATGTACATCTACCAGTTTAGGAGGCTGATTTAAGGTGATTGTTGGTGGCAATGCCCAGCCAGTCAAGGGTTTTGGAGCAAAATTCTTAGGGTGATTCATAAGATCTGTAATGTCAAGGTATCTGAAGAAGTGAGCAGTAACTCACGAGAGCTCCTCCCCTGCCACAAATTTCGTTACTCTTTAAGGTGCTCCTGGACTCTAACTCTTTTCTTCTGCTACAGACAAACTAACACGGCTACCCATCTTAATGTAAAGTTAGAGTTAGACCCCAAATGACTATTACTGGATTGTCAGCTATGCTGCCATACGGTTTATGGACTGAGGGGGCCCCCGCCTGACCTGTGTAGGACTGGGTGCCACATTCCTTTCCCTGCTTGCCTCTCCTGTTATCTGTAACCTTGTACCACTGTCTAGTTGTAGTGTCTTCATATAAATCAACCCAGCTCAGCTGCATCGGTTATTCCTTCCTGCCCAAGGGAATCAGGCCGATTGGCCCAAGGGTGTGTGTGTGTGTGGGGGGGTGTCGTATGAACTCTGTATATCTCAGTAAGAGAAAGAGACCAATAGTACTAAAGTATATGCTTCTTGGAAGACTGTGCTCCATTTGTTTGACTGTTGGACCTGACATAGATTTACCTTCCCGTAAGGATACTGATACACCAAAGTTTAAGTGCCTTTCAGCTTTATTGAGGACGGCACGTTTGTGTATTGCAACAAACTGGGAGAAGGAGGTGGTGGCGGCTACAGGCATGGACAGCTTCAAGAAGGAATTAGATAAACATATGGAGCAGAGGTCCATCAGTGGCTATTAGCCACAAGGGATAGATAGGGACTCTCAGTCTGGGGCAAGGGATGCTCTGTATTCTTGGGGTCAACAGTGGGAGGGCTTTTGATGTCCTGGCCCCACTGCTCGACCTCCTGATGGCACCTGGTATTTTTGGTCACTGTGTGACACAGAGTGTTGGACTGGATGGGCCATTGGCCTGATCCAACATTGGCTTCTCTTATGTTCTCTTATGTTAAGGATAAACCTCCATCTTGAACATTTAAAACGGTTAAAAACATGGGCTCTTATAGTTATGGAGAAGATCTCTTTAACACTTAACCCTACAGATTCAGATTCTAAGTTATCTCACTTTTTGGATGCCTGTGATTTCTTATTTGAAGGGAATGAAATGTCATAAAGGTGGGGAGATCCCCTCCAAATAGAGGTTCCTTTTTGCATGATAGTTGAATCTCTATCTCCTGTAATAGTATATTGCATCTTATTTGTTTGTTTTAATTATTGAATCTCTATCTCCTGTAATAGTATATGGTATCTTATTTGTTTGTTTTAATTAAAAAAAAAAAAACAGCCCATGGGTACAGAGGACAGGTTTCACACAGAGGGCCTAAAGGCAAATATTTGCTTGGCGTCTTGGTCCAATTCTATAAAACTTCTCTTGCGTGTGTACATCTACCAGATTAGGATTTAAGGTGGTACACAACTCCTTGAGGGGGAGGGGGTGCAAATAGACTTAGACCAAGGAATTAAACACTGTGCCACTGGAAAAGCAGAGAGCTGTACCCCTATTCTATTCCTTCTCCGTATACGGGCTTCTACTGCACAGGACTTTCAAAGTTGGGGAGGGAGGGGGCCCACAATGGGGAAATAACATTTCCTGGACCTTAACTAGGGTTGTCAGCAATGTTCCCTCTCAGCTGAGTTAGTGTGAGCTAGCTCACAGCTTTTTAGCCTCCGGCTCACACATTTTTGTCTCCGCTCAGGAAGGAGGGCTCCAGAGCAAACTAATCTATGCAGTAGCCAAATCACTCGCTCACAACTTTAATGCCAGTGGCTCACAAAGTAGAATTTTTGCTCACGAGACTCCACAGCTTAGAGGGAGCGTTGGTTGTCGGCACTCACTGTTGGGGTGGAGGCTCACTGGTGACGTCACTACATCACCAGCAACACAATGACATCACTTCCGGCACAACCGGAAGTGAAGTCAGTGTGTAGCTGGTGACGCTGTAACACTGAATGCTAACGCATCCCCTGCAATGTGCTGATGTCAACTCCGGTTGCGCCGGAAGTGATGTCGGCATATTGGGGCACTGGCCATGCACACACCCCCACTTCCCATGCACCCCCCCACTTCCCTGCCACCCAGCTCAGCAGCGGCAGGAAGGGTGCTCCGGGGGCTGGAGAGCCCCCTGTGCCTGCAGGAACTTAGCAACATGAGCCTTAACACAGAGCATCAGACTTCCGCAAGGAGGACCCCCCCCCTAACAATTCACAGCTAGGCAGACAAGACCGTGCCCTTGACATTTCTACAGACCCCAGTAAGGGCACAATGACTTCATGACCTGTCTGAAAGCCCTTGAAGAGACAGCGAGATTTCTTTCCAGCGGCGTCATTACCTCGCAATTTATCTTTTCACCATAGCGAGTATACTCTGGGGGCTGGAGAAATTCCCAAGTCCCTCCTTTGTCGAACGTGATGACAGACCGCATGTTCTCCTCAGTGAATGAGCCATTGATTAAGGTGGCGATGTAGATCCCTGGCACGCCCTCCACCCGGTGGAAGTCTGCAAAGGGCTCATTCGCAAAATACCTGCGGGGGGAAAAAATGTTTAAGCGCCGGCATGCATGAGCTGGAATGCCTTGTTAACTAGGTGGTGTGACGATTAAGGGCGGCAGACTTTAACCTGGAGAGCCGGGTATGATTCCCCAAACCTCCACATGAAGCTATTTCTATTGCTCTCCTGAAATATTTGAAGGGCTGTCACTTAGAGAAGGGCAGGGAGCTGTTTCTGTTGGCAGCAGAGGAGAGGACAAGCAAGAATGGGTTTACATTAGGGGCGGGAAGGTACCAGCTGGATATTAGGGAAAACATTTTGACAGAGTTGTGCGACAGTGGAATCAGCTGCCTTGGGAGGTGGTGAGCTCCCCCTCGCTAGCAGTCTTTTTTTTTTTAATTTTAATATAAAAAACTACAATACAAATTGGCGACTCTTTGTCAACAATTACACAGTGAATAATAGCATAAAAAGTCTATATAAAAAAGTCTCTCTTAGGAAATCTAGACTAACCAAATACCAGTAACTTGTATTTGGCATTAGATATAGTTTCCCAATCAAAGATGTCAATGTCTATTTTATCTAAGATAGGGTACCATATCTAAGATAGTCTTTAAGCAGTGGCTGAACAAACACTTCTCAGGGATGCTCGAGGCTGATCCTGCTTTGAGCAGGGGGTTGGACTAGATGGCCTGCAGGGCCCCTTCCAACTCTGTGATTCTATGATTCTATGAAGCCTGCTGGATGACCTTGGGCCAGTCACAGTTCTTTCAGAACTCTCTCAGCCCCACCTACTTCACAAGGTGTCTGTTGTGGGGAGAGGAAGGGAAGGTGATTGTAAGCCGCTCTGAGACTCCTTAAGGTAGAGAAAAGTGAGGTATAAAAACGTACTCTTCTTCTTCTAAAGAAAGCAAGGACCCAAGAGAACATCATAGCTGAGAGCTTTCTATGCTGTGGAAACATCCAATCCAGACAGAAACCGGAAAGGGCACTGTGGCAAATGGAAGGATTGTGCTCTGAGCCCTGGTTTCAGGCGTGACAGAGGCCCTGCAAACTGGACCCTTGTCCCCCTGCTTCCTGGGCCACTGACTGCTGATCGAAGAAGCCACAAGAGGCTGTTTGGGCTAAAATATTGACTAAACAGCACGTTATTCTCCATGGCTGTAAAGTCAGGTGACATTACAGAGCTGTTCTGGGGCCAGCCACTGCCAGTCTGGTGCCCCTGGCTAGAGTGTCAGGCTACAATCTGCAAGTCCCGGGTTCACATCCCACTCAGTCGTGAAACTCGAAGAATGAGCTTAGGACAGCCGCTTTCTCTCAGCCTGACTTACCTCCAGGAATTAGGGAGGGGGAGAGGTCCGTGCCCTCAGTCTTTAGGAAGAAAGACCAGTTACAGATAAACAGACATTTGAAGAGAAGAAGAGAAGAGATTGGATTTATACCCCACACTTCACTACCCGAAGGAACCTCGGAGTGGCTTACGATCTCCTTTCCCTTCCCTTCCCCTCCCCACAACAGACACCCTGTGAGGTAGGTGGGGCTGAGAGAGCTCTGACAGAAACTGCTCTTGAGAGAACAGCTCTGAGAGAACTTGTGACTGACCCAAGGCCACTCCCACTCTAGACCTGAACACTAGATAATGTGGAGTTCTTTAGAAACGAGACCCATTCAGAGTGGTAGCAAGAATGCCCCTTCTATCTCATAGGACAGGCTCTTCAGAAAGAGACAGGGGTGGGCACTGCCACCTGTAGCCCAGGCTCGCTCGATCCTGTCAGATCTCAGAAACTAATCAGGGTTGGCCCTGATTACTACTTAGATGGGAGACTACCAAGGAAACACAGGGTTGTTACACGGAGAAAAGCAATGCCCAAACCACCTCTGAATGTCTCTTGCCTCGAAAAACCCACAGGGTCGTCTGTATAATATAACAATTGATTGGCACAGTAATGAGATAATACGGAGAACAAGAAAAACTCTGGAAAAGTGTCGCTTAATAGATGTCTTTAAAGAATCATAGCAAAGTGAACAAAAATAATATACGTAATCATAGAAAAATATATTGACGGTGACTTAACCACTACACCACTTAACCACTACTATGCTGTGGAAACATCCAAGCCAGACAGAAACCGGAAAGGGCGCTGTGGCAGATGGAAGGATTGTGCTCTGAGCCCGGGTTTCAGGCGTGACAGAGGCCATGCAGACTGGACACTTGTCCCCCTGCTTCCTGGGCCACTGACTACTGACCGAAGGAGCCCCAAGAGGTTGTTTGGACTAAAATATTAACTAAACAGCACATTATTCTCCAGGGCTGTAAAGTCAGGCGACGTTACAGAGCTGTTCTGGGGCCAGCCACTGCCAGTCTGGTGCCCCCGGCTAGAGTGTCAGGCTACAATCTGCGAGTCCCAGGTTCAAATCCCACTCAGCCATGAAACGCGAAGAATGATCTTAGGACAGCCGCTTTCTCTCAGCCTGACTTACCTCGCAGTAATTAGGGAGGGGGAGAGGTCCATGCCCTCAGTGTTTAGGAAGAAAGACCAGTTATAGATAAACAGACACTTGAAGAGAAGAGATTGGATTTATACCCCACACTTCACTACCCGAAGGAACCTCGGAGTGGCTTTACAATCTCCTTTCCCTTCCCTTCCCCTCCCCACAACAGATACCCTGTGAGGTAGGTGGGGCTGAGAGAGCTCTGAGAGAACTGCTCTGAGAGAACTTGTGACTGACCCAAGGTCACTCCCACTCTAGACCTGAGCACTAGATAATGTGGAGTTCTTTAGAAACGAGGCCCAGTCAGAGTGGTAGCAAGAATGCCCCTTCTATCTCATAGGACAGGCTCTTCAGAAAGAGACAGGGGTGGGCACTGCCACCTGTAGCCCAGGTGCGTCCCTGCCCAAAAATAGCCCTGGCCGGTCGGCCCTGATTACTACTTAGATGGGAGACCACCAAGGAAACACGGGGTTGTTACACGGAGGAAAGCAATGCCGAAACCACCTCTGAATGTCTCTTGCCTCGAAAAACCCACAGGGCCGTCTGTATAATATAACAGACGTGTCCTTTCACAGTTTTTCTTGTTCTCCGTAATATAACAGACATGTCAGGCACATTTATGGAATTCATCGCCACAAGTGAGGGCTGCTGAATTGTATGGCTTTAAAAAGGGGAATGTGACAAAGTCACGGGGTCAAAGGCTACCATCTACAACAGCTCAATGGAACCTCCATGTCCAGAGGCAGTGTGCCACTCAATACCAAAGGGGTGGCAGAGAATCAACAAAGGGAGGACTCAGCCTTCATACCCTGCTTGTGAGCTTCCCGGCTGACCACCGTGGGAAACAGGAAGCCTTTGGTCTGATCCAATGGGGCTCCTCTTATGTTTTGATTAAAACAGTTTGTTAGCTGGAGACACTTCGTTCCACAGGCTGCTACTGCTTAAGCGGGATCCCTTTGTTCCGTCTGACAAACTGTGCTGCACAGACAAAGACGTTTCCCTCTTTGCCACGCCGAGTCGCCCATCCCCTAAGTCGCCTCCCCCTCGACTGATCCATGGCTCTCTCCTTACCTGACCAGGGTGTCGCTCCCCACTCCCCCGGGGCTGTAGTAAAGGATGTCCTCCAAAGTCAGCGAGAACCTCAAGCCGTCCGCTTCGGAGATGTAGAGGTTGGTGCGGTTGTTGCTGTGACTGACGCACACAAACACCTGGTCCTCCGAGGCGTCGGCAATGTAGTACTCCTTCCAGAAGAGAACAAGGAGGGGGAAAATTATTTCGATACTCCAAAAGAGATGGCGTTATCCCGGGGTCACTTTGTAGAAAAAGAGGTGCAGGAGCTCATTGGATAACTTATTAGCATAACTTATTTGCATATGCCACACACCCCCTGACATCACCGGAAGTGTGTCAGAAGGCAACACCCACCGCTCAGGCTCCACTGGACTGTTTTGGATTGCAAGCTATTGGGGGGGGGGGGGGGGGGGCGGGCA